GGGGGCGGCGACGGCAGCGCGGGGGGGGTCACTGCGGGGGGGGGGAGGGGTTTGTGTAGGGCCGACAACATCGGGACCCCCAATAGGGCCCCGCAATGGGAACCCCATGACTGGCACCCCACACAGCCCCCCCAGTGGGAACCCCATTATTGGGACACCCCCACAGGACCCCCCACAACGGGACCCCCATTATTGGGACCCCATTATTGGGACTCCCCCATAGGGCCCCCCCCAATGGGAACCCATTATTGGGACCCCCCCCATAGGGCCCCCCCAATAGGAACCCCATTATTGGGACCCCATTATTGGGACCCCCCCATAGGGCCCCCCCAATGGGACCCCCATTATTGGGACCCCATTATTGGGACACCCCCATAGGGCCCCCCCCAATGGGACCCCCATTCTTGGGACACCCCCATAAGGATCTGAGCGTTGGGGTTTCTGTGGGTCCCGCACAAACAATGGGGTTCAGGAGGTCCCACCTGTTGTGCTGAGCGCAGCGGTCGCCTGGGGGGGCGGCAGTGCGGGGTTGGGCACCTGGAAACGGCACAGCGTGACCCCATAGAGCTATGGGGCGCTGCGGGGTCCCTGTGGGTCCCGGTGGGTCTCCATGGGTCCCCATGGGTCGCACCATGTGGGGGCTGTAGGGCCCTTTTAGGGGCACTATAGGGCTCTTTTCGGGGCACTATGGGGCGCTGTGGGTCGCACCATGTGGGGGCTGTAGGGCCCTTTTTGGGGCACTATGGGCACATCTATGGGGCGCTATGGGGCACATGTATGGGGCACTATGGGGTACATCTATGGGGCGCCATGGGCCGCACTGTGTGGGGGCTGTAGGGCCCTTTTTGGGGTCGCTATAAGGGCCCTTTTTGGGGCACTATGGGCACATCTATGGGGCTCTACGGGGCACATCTGTGGGGCGCTGTGGGTCACACCATGTGGGGGCTGTAGGGCCCTTTTGGGGGTTGCTATGGGGCACATCTATGGGGCGCTATGGGGCCCATCTATGGGGTGCCATGGGCTGCACCGTGTGGGGGCTGTAGGGCCCTTTTTGGGGCACTATGGGTACATCTATGGGGCTCTATGGGGCACATCTGTGGGACGCTGCGGGTCACACCATGTGGGGGCTGTAGGGCCCTTTTTGGGGCGCTATGGGGCACATCTATGGGGCGCCAGGGGCCGCACCGTGTGGGGGCTGTAGGGCCCTTTTTGGGGCGCCCCACAGGGGTTGATCCGCTTCTCCTTCTGGCGCCGGTTGCAGAACCAGACCCGGATCACCTCCTTCTCCATGTGCAGCTGCTCCGCGATCAGCAGGATCTCCTCCGACGTCGGCTTCTGGTTCTGCGGGGGCAGAGGTCAGGGGTCAGAGGTCAGGGGTCACAGGGTCACGGGGTCACGGAGTGGGAGGGTGAGGCTTGGAGGTCAGGGGTCAGGGGGTCACAGGGTCGGGGGGTGATGGGTCAGGGGTCATGGGGTCCTGGGGTCATAGGGTCCTACAGGGCACGATGTGTGGGGCAGGATCTATAGGGTGGGCTCTATAGGGTGGGCTCTATGGGGCAGGATCTATAGGGTGGGCTCTATAGGGCAGGATCTATACAGTAGGATCTATGGGTCAGTCTCTATAGGGCAGGATCTGTGGGGCAGGGCTCTATGGGGCAGTCTCTATAGGGCATTCTCTTTAGGGCAGCCCCCATAGGGCAGTCTCTATAGGGCAGGGCTCTATAGGGTATTCTCCATAGGGCAGTCTATAGGGCAGTCTGTCTGCACGTCTGTCTGTATGGCCATCTAAGGCAGTCTGTCTCAATGTCCATCTGTACGGCCGTCCCTAGGGCAGTCTGTTTGTACAGCCGTCTGTATGGCTGTCCCTAGGCAGTCTGTCTGTACGGCCATCCATAGGGCAGACTGTCTGTATGGCTGTCCATAGGGCAGTCCGTCTGTCCGTCCGTCTGTCTGCCCGCCCATAGGCAGTCCGTCTGTATGTCCATCTGTCTGTCTGTCCATAGGCAGTCTGTCTGTCCGTCTGTCTGTACAGCCGTCCGTAGGCAGTCTGTCTGTCTGTCCGTCTGTCTGCCCGTCCATAGGCAGTCTGTCTGCATGTCCATCTGTACGGCCGTCCCTAGGGCAGCCTATCTGTATGGCTGTCCATAGGCAGTCCGTCTGTATGTCTGTCTGTCCATAGGCAGTCCGTCTGTCTGTCCGTCTGTCTGCCCGTCCGCAGGCGTCCGTCCGTCCGTCCGCGTGTCTCACCGCCAGGAAGCTTTTCTCCAGCGCGAATCGGACGTTGGTTTCGATGCTGGTCCGCTTCTTCCGGCGCCGCCCCGGCAGCCCCTCGAAGGCGCTCAGCGCCGGGCTGCCCAGCGCGTGCGGGGCCGGCAGCGCCGCGTCCGCCGACATCGACTCTGCGGGGGGCGGCAGTGAGGGGGGGCGGGGGGGGAGGGGGGGGCGCGGGGGGGGGCGCTGTGCGGCTCTGTGGGGCGCTATGGGGTGCTATGGGGTGCTATGGGGTGCCATGGGGTGCTATGGGGCACTATGGGGTGCCATGGGGCGCTATGGGGTGCTATGGGGTGCTATGGGGCGCTATGGGGTGCTATGGGGTGCTATGGGGCACTATGGGGTGCTATGGGGCACTGTGCGGCTCTATGGGGCGCTATGGGGCGCCATGGGGCACTATGGGGCATTTGTAGGGTATCTGTAGGGTATCTATGGGGCTCTACAGGGCTGTACAGGGCATCCATAGGGTGTCTATAGGGTGTCTATAGGGTGTCCATAGGGTGTCTATAGGGTGTCCATAGGACACCTACGGGGTATCTATGGGGCTCTATGTGGTATCTACAGGGTGTCTATGGGGTATCTATAGGATGCCTAGGGGGTGTCCATGGGGTGTCTATGGGGTGTCCATAGGATATCTATGGGGTGTCTGTGGGGTATCTATAGGATGCCTATGCAGTGTCCATGGGGTGTCCATGGGGTATCTATAGGATATCTATAGGGTGCCCATGGGGTGTCCATGGGTGTCTATGGGGTGTCCATGGGGTGTCCATGGGGTGTCTATGGGGTGTCTATGGGGTGCCATGGGGTGTCTATGGGGTCCCCACAGGGTATCTATGGGGTGTCTATGGGATATCTATGGGGTGTCCATGGGGTGTCCATGGGGTGTCTATGGGGTGTCCATGGGGTCCCCACGGGGTGTCTATGGGGTGTCCATGGGGTGTCCATGGGGTCCCCGCGGGGTATCTATGGGGTGTCCATGGGGTCCCCGCAGGGTATCTATGGGGTGTCTATGGGGTGTCCATGGGGTCCCCGCAGGGTATCTATGGGGTCCCCATGGGGTCCCCACGGGGTGTCTATGGGGTGTCTATGGGGTGTCTATAGAATATCTATGGGGTCTCCATGAGGTATCTATGGGGTCCCCACGGGGTGTCTATGGGGTATCTACAGGATATCTATGGGGTGTCCATGGGGTGTCTATGGGGTGTCCATGGGGTCCCCACGGGGTATCTATGGGGTATCTATGGGGTGTCTATGGGGTGTCTATGGGGTGTCCATGGGGTCCCCATGGGGTATCTATAGGGTGTCCATGGGGTCCCCACGGGGTATCTATGGGGTGTCTATGGGGTCCCCGCAGGGTATCTATGGGGTGTCTATGGGGTGTCCATAGGATATCTATGGGGTCCCCGCGGGGTCCCGCAGCTGTAACCGCAGGGCACCAAGGGCTGCACCCACCCGCGTCGTTGAGCCACTTCTCCAGCAGCGGCTTCAG